AAAAGTATATTGTTTTTATTAAAATCTTCCGCCGATATGTTGAACCAACGAATTAAAGGAATAAATTCATGGATAGCCCTCTCAAAGATCTTGTAATCATGACTTGTCCAGGTTTTCATGTTCTTTTGAGTTGTTTTATTTTGAGCAGTGCCCCATTTAATTAAATAGTCACAAATTGTCTTCTCATCTAATTTTCCCATATCATCACGTTGCAATATAAGGATTAAAATAGAAGGATCTAATTGAATAAGCTTTGGGCTACCGAACAATGCATTGGGATAGAGACATGTAAGATAAATACAGTATTCGCGGAATGGTTCACATATATCATGACCAAAAATTATTTGCAATACACCAACTGCGTCATTTTGGAAAAGATTGTCTAAATTTTGATCCACATAAGACGACATGCTAGAGAAGGAATTTTGAAGTTGCAAAGCATTAGTTTCAATCAATATGCGCAAAACTTCAGCACCTTGAAATCTGGTTGTAATGAGCTTAAGATTTGTCTTAAGGTTTTTCTTAAGGTTTGTATCTGAAAATAGTTTATCAATAGTTACTTTAGTTGGCAGCTCGGCAGCAGTTTGCATGAATTGTAGAAATTGTTCAATATTCAATTTATCAAGAGTATATTTAATAAAATCATAGCTTGTTAATAAATCATCAATAGCTTTTCTAGATTTCAATGATATTTTCACCAACTTTAAAATATCATTTGCATTAAATTTGCGTATGATTATATTGGAAAGGTCCTTATTCGATAGTGAAGCAGAAATTGCTTCCTGAAGTTGTAGCTCTTCAGATTTCTCTATGATTTCTAACACTTCAGCACCATCAAATTTGTCAAGAATGGCCTTTACAATGCTGTTTTCTGATAATATATCATTAATATCCTTTTGAATTTTTAATTCGTCGGTCATCATTATGAGTTTTAAAATTTCTGCACCATTCAGTTTCTTTAGAATAATTTCGGTGAAGTAAGTAGCTGATAATAGGTTAGAGATAATAAATCTGAGGTCCATTTTATTTGCTGCTACAATTAGCAGCAAGATATTGGCTCCATTCAATTTTTCCAAATCAAATTCAGTAACGTATAAATATCTTTTAAATAAAATTTCAATTAATAACAGCTGCTTATAACGTAGTACGCATATATAAATATAAAATTGCAAAATACCTTAAAATAATTTCAAAAATATCCGCATGGATATTTGGAATTGTAAAAATAAAAGGATTATTATCATCTTTATTGGAGAAGGCAGTTTCGAAATAAGAGGAGCGTGCACATAAGATCAATGAATGTGCATAAAAATCTTTGAAATTACAGCCTTCACCAACACGAACGATGACATCATAATAATCTTTCATTTGAAACAATTTTTTATTCATATCGACAAGCTCCTCATATGAACTAAAAGACGATTCGGATTTTGTTGCTTTTTTAGTTATTTTTGGTTTAAACGGTGACGGTGCAGTTCTTGATGGTAAAAGTTTAGTGCTAACTGGTAGAGAGCGAGAATCTAAGTTGTAGCTTAAAATACTATTAAATAAATCTTCTGATAAAATACTTTTAAGAAGTTGTCTCTTTTCTTTAAATTCTTTTTTTGAAATTCGAAACCAGCGAATTAAAGGAATAAATTCATGAATAGCCTTTCGAAATATAATGTAATCTTTTTCTTGCCAATATTCCATGTTTTTTTCTTGAATGGTATCTGAAATTTGTGCAATTCCCCATTCGATTAAGTAATTTAAAATGCTAACTTCGCTTAATTTGCCTAAATCATCCAGTTGCAATATGAGTGTTAGAATATGTGAATCTAGCTGAGTAAACTTGGAATGTTCGAATATCACACTTGGATTAGCGCATATAAGCTTAAGACATTGTTCGCGGAATGACTCGAATATGTCATATTTAAAAACAATTTGTAATACTTTAAACGCATCACTTTGTATTAATTCTTCCAAATTTTGATGTACAGAAGGAAATAATTTGTCATTAATTTCTTCATTAAGAAGTAACCTATCTGTTTCTACTAAAAATTCTATAATTGTTATATCATCTATT